TAGGGGGGGGGGGGGGGATCCGTTACCGGGAACGATTGAGAGGGGGGGGCAGCGCACCTCCAGAAAAACAATCGGCCATTGTCCAAGTGCGCATATTTTAACGTGCGTGCGCTCGCGCGAAATCCGAGTGCTCGCGGTGGCGACGGCAGCGGCTGCTGCTACCGGGAGAGGGTCCCAGGTATCTCGGGGGTCAGTCCGCCTCCACATACTCGGCATTTTTTCCGACGTTTCATTCAGCGACCGCGCTCCGCGAATGTCTTATCGCGGTCCGCGTCTCCCAACCTCCCCTACTCCTCCGCTACGGGGAGCTCCCAACTTTTCGGTAGCTCTTCGGGGGGGGGGGGGAGAAGGCAGCGGCAATAGGGCAACGATGCCACGGACACGCGTTAACGGTGAGTAGCGACGAGGGCAGGTTGACCGGGTTCGCAGCTTGAATGAGGGCCGTCGACTTTCTTTCTTTCTTTCATTCTTTCATTCCTTTATTCTTTCATTCTTTCGTTCTTCCTCTCTTTCTTTCTTTCATTCTTTCTTTCTTGCTCTCTTTCTGTCTTTTTGTCTTTCTTTTATTTCTTTGCCTCCTTCGCGGACCACGAGAAAGAGGCTTGAAAGACGCGCGCTTAGAGGTATGTCTGTAGCGATGAGGAGCGGGCATTTTGCGCGTGCGCGCACACGTTTGCTCACGGACGAGCTGACGGATCGTGAGGGGATTGGCGGCAGGGGTTAGGGGGGAGACAGAAGGAGTCAGTGAGGGAGAGTGGGAGGGAGGGCAGGGAACCAAGAGGAGCAGCCGAGGCTACGGAGCAGGTGAATGAACGGCTCTCCATGCCGGTCGAGAGAGAGAGAGAGAGAGAGAGAGAGAGAGAGAGAGAGAGAGAGAGAGAGAGAGAGCGAGAGAGAGAGGGAGAGAGAGAGATAGTACGTGGTCCCGAGCGCTTGAGTATCCGTGCACCGGGTCTCTCCAGCTCTTTTCGCCTATAAATGGCTGCATGAATGGTGCGGATGCTAATGGTCCTACGTTCCAGCCTCTATTATTAAGAGCGTCCTCGTGGCCCCTGAGGCCCTCTTCCACGTCGGGCCCATTGAATTATCGAAAGAGCCTGGGCCCTCGAAAGAGCAACCTCAGCGGAGATTTGCTCTCGCTGTAGGTCGTCGCAGCCACCGCTACCACCGACACCGCCGCCGCCGCCGCCACCGCCGCCGCCGCCACCACCGTCACCACACCGCGGCCGCCGCCACCACCACCGCCTGCCTTTGCCCCGGGCTTTGCTCGTAAAAACGACGGCTGTAGGAGCGAGAGCCCGTCATGGGTGAAATGAAATCCCGTCGGCGCTGAATGAACGCCTCGGCTCGTTGTCGGCTGCCTGTACGCGGCGGCGCATTCCAGGAGTCACGGGGCAAGAAGCTAGACGACGTGCGCCGTCTCTTTTTTAGCCGCCGCCTCTCCGTCCCTCCCCGCTCCAAAGCATTCGGAGCCCTTCCCGGCTTGGCGCGCGCCCCCGCGCGGCCACGAGGGAGCCTCCTCGGGAATAGTCGGACCCGCTCGGCAACAACTCTAGTATACGGAGCGAGGGAGACGGCGCGAGAGAGCGAGGCTATTGAATGAACCGAATGAATGACGGCTGCCTTGCGTTGAGCGCCATTTTTACGCGGCCCCGGCATAATTGTGGCGATGTTGAGCCGCGGAGGCTGGTGAGAGGCTCCGACCCTGGCCCTGCTGGGGATCAAGGGAAAGGGATTGCGACGACTAGACGAAGAATAGAGCACTACGCAGATAATGGAGTCGGCTTATGGTTATTGGTCGGATAGTGGGAGATCGCGCGTCCGCTTGCCTTATGATTCTATGAAGCTTGGCAATGTGTATTGTCGAGGCACCGACGGTGAGAATGTTTTTCCAGACTCGGTTGACCAATGGCATTGACAAGAAACCGAAATGGCGAAGAAAAGTTGGGAACGAGAGAGGCAGGCGGCTATCAATGTCCATTAATCGCGGTTTGATGATTTTTCTGTTATTTTTTCTGCGACGTCGTTGCATTGATGAAAGGATTTGGATGAGAAAAGAAGAGGTGAACAAAGCGACTAGTTTGACCAGTATATTGTCTGCTTGTAGAGAGGATTAGTGGTGATAATCGATTAGTCTTATCGCTATGTACAAGTAATGCCAAGGTGATAATACGGGGAGAGTAGCGTGTGCGCTTGGCGTGAAAGTTCGTTGAAATGTTGATCGTTTAATTAGTAAACTGTGACGACAGCAGCTTCTTTGCGCAGAAATGTCAATTATTCATGAGAGAGCGCGAGAGACATCTTCCCGTGTTAATCTTGTAAATGAAGATGCATATAAAGGCCGATGATTTGAGTGAGAGAAGTGGCGTAAGACACGAGTTGGGTAGTCCGATGTCCGAATGGGTGTAACGAACATCGGAGACGTTCTTATCGGAGAACTAAACCGGAAAAGTCATTTGCACAATAGCTATATTGTCTTATTGTGCTGTTTGCTAACTATGAGAAAGGCGTCGTGAAAGCGGCAAATGCGATGAATAGCTAGCGGATCGGGAAGATGAATGCCGAATAAATCACGAAAACCGTGCGGATGAAACGAAAGCTGACGTGATACTTAAAGGCGTTTCAAAAGTCAATGGACAACTAATTGCGGCGAGCTGTTTTAAATGCCGCAAAGTGAAATGGAATGACCGTGTTGCTCGGTTAAGTTAACAAGAAACTTAAGCGCCACATTTGCGGAAACTGCGTTAACTAATAAGTTTATTACGGGATTTGAGAGACAGAGGCCCGTGACTTTGATAAGCGATCGTGACGCTGTGGAATAATGGGAAGGGACGATAATAACGACTGTGTCTCAACACCGCTGCTTTAGCAGCGTGTTCCCGGGAAAAAGTTGGTTACCGCGGAGAAAGCGGCCGGTCGATATTTGCAATAAAAATCAACGGTTAAAAGTTAAATTAGCCATTAGTAAGTGAAATATTAAGATTGGCAAATGAGTTTGGCTAAGCGGCGTTACGCGCTTATGGCGATTACATCAAATCCGACATGATATACAGCTGAATATCCTCAGACTATAACAACAACAACAACAACAACAACAACAACAACAACAACAACAACAACAACAACAACAACAACAACAACAACAACAACAACAACAACAACAACAACAACAACAACAACAACAACAACAACAACAACAACAACAACAACAACAACAACAACAACAACAACAACAACAACAACAACAACAACAACAACAACAACAACAACAACAACAACAACAACAACAACAACAACAACAACAACAACAACAACAACAACAACAACAACAACAACAACAACAACAACAACAACAACAACAACAACAACAACAACAACAACAACAACAACAACAACAACAACAACAACAACAACAACAACAACAACAACAACAACAACAACAACAACAACAACAACAACAACAACAACAACAACAACAACAACAACAACAACAACAACAACAACAACAACAACAACAACAACAACAACAACAACAACAACAACAACAACAACAACAACAACAACAACAACAACAACAACAACAACAACAACAACAACAACAACAACAACAACAACAACAATAATAATAATAACGGAGTTTTTACAAGCTCGACCTGCCGAATAATCGTAAAAAGAGGCTCGAGAAGTTGGGACGTGATGCTAATAAATATTTGGATATTTATCGATATGTTTGCTCAGAGGTGATTGGCAATT